GAAAAATTTAAACATTTAAAAATTATAATTTGAATCCTTTTCAATATTCAATTATTATCTAAAATTTTAACTGAAATTCATATTTAAATCAATTTTTTTTAGAAAATTCTACGAGACTTCAATTACTTAAATACAAAAATAAATAATTTATTCAAGAATTGAATGTTTTTTTAAATTAAATTCTCATTTTAAGGATTTTATCAACAAATTTTTAGGTAATTAAAATTCTTTTGACGAATTTCAATAAAATTTTCAAGAATAATTTTATTTTTCGAGAAATTAGATTAAAATTGTCTTAAAAATAATTGGATCTCTAAAAAATTTCATTGAATTGAGAAAAATTTTTGAAAATAATTGAAATCTTGACAAGAATTTTATTAAAATTTTTGAAAATCAATTGAATTTTGGAGAAAAATTTTATTATTTATAAAGATAATTGAAATTTTGAAGAGAATTTTTTTAAACTTTTGACCATAATTGAATTTCTGCGTAGAATTTTATTACTTTTGAAAATAATTGAATTCTTAATACGAGTTTTAATAATATTTCTTTTTAAATAATTCTAATTTTCAAAGATTTTCATTTGAAACATATTCAAAATTAAATTATTTCTAAAAATTTACTCTGTAATGCTTTTAATGTTCAAATGATTATCTTAAATTTTAACTGAAACCCATTATTCAATCAATATTTATTAAAAAATTCGACGAGAATTCAATTATTTATTTATTTCTTTATTTTACAATCAATTAAATACAAAAATAAATAATTTATTGAAGAATTGAATGTTTCTCAAAATTTAATTCTCATAAAGAATTTTATCAGTAAATTTTTTAATCATTAAATTCTTTCGATGAATTTTATTTGAATTTTTAAGAATAATTTTTTCATTTTTCGAGGAATTCGATTAAAATTGAAATTAGCGATGAGTTTTATTATTTATGGAAATAATTGAATTCCTCAAAATAATTTTATTATTTTCAAAAATAATTGAATCTCTGTACAAAAATTGCATAGTTTATGAAAATAATGGAATTCTTATGAAGAAATTTATAACAAATTTGTAAATAATTGAATTCTTGCGAATTTGTATTATTTGTGAACATAATTAAATGACTTCGTAGAATTTTATCAAAATTTGTTTTAAATAATTGAATTTTTTGGGAAAATTTCGTTAAAATCGTAAAAAATTGAAAATCATTGAATTGAGGAAAAATTTTGAAAATAATTGCAATTTGGCCAAGAATTTTATTAAATTTTTTTAAAATAATTGAATTTCGGAGAAAAATTTTATTATTTATAAAGATAATTGAAATTTTGATAAAAATTTAAAAAAATTTTGAATGAAGTTATTTAATTAGAAATTATTGTGAGAAATAGTAAAAATTGAAGGTTTCGTGGTAATTTCATAGTTTATGAGGCAAACAAAAAAAAACAAAAATTCAGAATTTTCTTATGAGTTTTAAAAATTTAATTTTTTCTAGTACTTTTAATAAAAATCCCTGACTTTTCCCTGAATTCCCTGACCTGTGACAACCCTGAATTAATTTATTTGGTTAAACAAACGAAATTTGGATGATTCAACCGAATACATTGCTATCTAACGAAACCCTTGTTTGAAACAATTAAATGGAATCAAATATTTTATCAAACTTATTCAGTTGATTCAAATATATTATATTTTCGATTCAATAAAAATTTTTTTGTCTGAAATAAATTGGAACTCATCAGTTTTAGTGAGGCACGAGGTGAAACAAAGATTTCCTTGAATGGATTAAAGGAATCCATTCATTTAGTGAGTAAATTAAGTCACTAAAGTTGATTTAAAAAAATGACACGAAAAGAAACACAAAATAGACACACAAAAATAAAGAAAAAAGAAAATATCGAGAAAAATGTGCAAGTTTAGAATAAGATTTGCCAAGTGGCAATTAAACAGATATCGCTATTTCGATTAGAAGAATGTTTACAGTTGATTGAATACATTTTCTTTATATAGATTAATTACTCTATTTTCTTACTCGTTTCTTACACAAGGCAGAGTGATTTGAATAAAGCGAGATGCTGGCATCCGGATTTACTATTTACACGCGGTCGTTCTTGATTCCACTGGGGATTAAAGGTCCGTTGAAACATGGCTTAGTGGGAATTATCACGAATGTCTATCGAATGGGACACATACCGGATTTGTCCATGCGAAACGTTGTAATCGCAACGATATGCACTGCGTAATCGCCATGGCTACCTATTTTCTCCGGACAACATAAGTATTCTAGCAAACAAGCAGTTATAACGATACAAAAGGATGCGATCTTTTCTGCCAGGGAGAGAGAGCAGGAGAGACACCATATTGCCCTCGAAACCGGTTCGAATTCTCGATTCTTCTCTAATCAGGAATTTCAAGTGTCGCCTATCGAAGAGACACGTGTACTTCTAACTGGGAAAATTAATTCATTACTTTTCGAATCATTCGGTCACTGACATGTGCAATTAAACTTTTATAATTGTAAATCATTTTTCCATCTCTTCGTGTCTTTATCTTTTTTTCATATTTCAATTGAAAATATGATTACAATTTCAAAAATTATAATTTACAGTAATAATTTCAATAATTACAATTTCAATTAAATAATGCTGAACTAATTTTAATATAAATATATAATTATATTAATTATATTAACAAGTTTCCTATGAATATTTGATTGTTTTTTTATTGATTTCCATGGAATTTTGATCTGCAGATAAAAATTCGATTTTTTCTTCGATACTAATTAAAAATATTAGAGAAGAGTTTAATTATAGAAGAAAATAATTTTTAAAAGCAATTTTATTTAAAAATATTCATGGCGTATGTTTTTTTTTACAAATAAAATTAATTATTCTGACGAACCTTTCTCTATAATTTTTAAGAATTTCAATTAAATTCTTTAAAAAATTCAATTATTGCTTTTCAGAATTTCAATAAAACTCTTTACAAAATTCAATTATTTTTAATAGAATTTCAGCAAATTTTAAATAATTTTAATAGAATTTTAGCAAATTTAAATTATATTGAAAAAATTAATTACTTGTTTATAAAAATTCAATTAATTTTAAAAAAGTAGAACGGAATTGTTTTTAAAAACTAATGTCACGAACGTCTATTGACTATTTTCAAGTATTTCTATATACAATTCTATTAAAATATTACAGTATTTTTAATATCTTTTTAGGAAATTTCAATTATTTCAAAAATTTCAATCACTAGCTTATAAAAATTTAATTATCATTAAAAAATAAAACTCAATTTGTTAAAGAAATTAATGTGTTGAAATTATTTTTTAAAGAATTTCAATTATTATGAAAAATTTAAGTTATTTCAAGAAATTTTAATTACTTGTTTATTTAAATTCAATTTTTTTTTTAAATAAGATGGGAAAAATTTGTTAATTTTAATGTGACGAACTTTCCTCGATTATTTTCAAGTGTTTCAATAAAAATAATTTTAAAATTCAATTTTTTTAAATAGAATTTTAGCAAATTTAAATTATTTCAATTAATTGTTTAGAAAAATTCAATTATCTTCAAAAAATGGAACGGAAATATTTTTTTTTAATTAATGTCACGAAAACTTCTCTGGATTATTTTCTAGAATTACTTTAAAATTCTATTTAAAAAATCCATTATTTTGAATATATTTTTAGAAAATTTCAATTGTTTCAAAAATTTTAATTACTTGCTTATAAAAATTCAATTATCTATTAAAACAGAACAAATTTTTTAAAGAAATTAATGTGGTGAAATTATTTTTAATAGAATTTTCGCGAATTTCAATTATTTCGAAAAATTTCAATTATTTCAATTACTTATTTACAAGAATTCAATTATTTTCAGAAAATAGAATGGAAATATTTTTAAAATTGTAATGCGGCAAACTTTTCTCGATTATTTTTAAGAGTTTCAATAAAAGTCTTTGGAAAATTAAATTATTTTTAATGGAATTTTAGTAAATTTCAATTATTTCAAATATTTTTTTTCAATTTTTTGTTTACAAAAATTCAATTCTCTTTAAGAAATCGAACGAAAATGTTTTAAAAAATTAATGTGATGAACTTTCCTGAATAATTTTCAAGAATTTCAATAAAAATCTTTAATTATTTTTAAAACAATTTTGAAAGATTTCAATTACTTTGAAAAATTTTTGTCTCAATTTGATATCCGCAGAAAAACTGTGTATACTTTTGATAAAATTCCCTGATATTTTTCTAATTCTCTTCTAACTAATTTTATTTTTCCTGACTGACAACTCTGTATTACACTGGAAAAAAAATTTTATTTGATTCAAATAAACCGATTAATTGACAATTATTTATCAATTAAATATTTAATTTTTTAATATCTATTGGACATCAAATGATAACTATTGGAGTCAATGGTATTTGAACTAATAATTTCAGTATTTGAAGGAAATATGAATTGTATACCATTTAAATGACTCGAATAAATGGGAGTCAAGGATTTATTTGATTCAAGTAAATATTTAATTGATAATAGTCAATTAATCGGTTATTTCAATCAAATCATTTTTTTTCAGTGTAATAACAATAATAGTTGGGCTACAAAAACTACCAAGTTTGAAATTAATAATCAGATATTTACAACATTAGATATTTGTCCATCGCGTTGAAATTCGCCGAGAGATCGTTTTGCATTCGTGTTCAGCGAAATTAGTTAATATTACAGAAAGTGCACGTATATAATTTCAATTGCCAAGTGTTACAATATTCTGAAATTGAAAAGAGACGCAGGCGCTTGTATGTTTGGCGGGTATAATATACCGACACCCACTCTTGATGGCGGCGGCCAACCACCGACGAATATAACCCGATGCTACTTTTACGTATTAGCTATCGCATGTACGTGTAACTGCTTTGACATGTGCGCAGGTCCCTTCCTCTCCTCGCAACAAACAAAGGAACATGGCGTCACTAACTCGGTACCGTTCCCATTTTCTGTTACAGGTTAACGAGGTGAGACGCGATGGACAATATTCCAGTTTGGATTCTGTAAAATACCTTCAAGTACCACACGAGGTCCTGCGATTTACCACTCCGTCAACAGAGAGAAAGAGAAGGCGAACACGAAAATAAAAAAAGGACAAAGAGCTGCGGAAGAGAGGACGAATGAATGGGTGCGAGCCAAAAAGGGATAGAAGCAAGAAAGGGGATAAATAATGGGCAGAGAATAAATAAAAGGGGAAAAGGGAGACAAAAAGGGAAATGAGAAATAAAAAGGGAAATGGGGACTAAAAAGGGAAATGAGAACTAAAAAGGGAAATGGGAACTAAAAAGGGAAAAGAAGTATTTAAATATAGACAAGGAGAAATCAATATGTTGATTGCCCTGATAATTGCGATTAGGAAACTAAAATCCCGATTTCTCGAAAATCGCAGGTTGAATTCTTCCCAGTGAAATTCTCTACTATATCGAGTCAAAAATGTGTTAATTCATTTCTTTTTAATTAACCACGGGCAATGTGCAAAATGGCACCGAAAAGTGTAATTTGTTATTAATTATTATCCAAAGTGAATCATTTTTTATTTTTTTGTTATTATTTTATCTTTTTTATTATCGTAATGTTTTACACTAGTGTTATATTTTACAAAATTTTACCTTCACACTTTTTCTAAGGATATCAAATTGAGTCAAAAAACATCGTTTTTCATCTCAATTTTGCGATATCCTTAGAAAAACTGTGTTAGTGATTTTACATTAATGTAATATTTTACATTAATGTAAATGTGATGTAAATGTGACAATTTACACCACTATCAATGTTCCAGTTACCGTCCACTTCTATATAAAAAAAAATTATTCATTAAAATTCCATTAAAGGCAAACTAATAATTTCGCCCCAAGAAAAAAAATAGAAATTTAAAAAATCGACGGCTATTGGAACATCGACACTATCGTAATATTTTACACTATTGTAACACTTTACAGTTTACACTATTGTAATACTTTACAGTTAACACTACTGTAATATTTTACATTACTGCAATATTTTACATTATTGTAATAATTTACCATTAAAAAGTCACACACACTCACAAACACACACACACACACACTAGGAAAAGCGTACACGCTTTATTCACTTGAACAATTTAAAAAAATTAAACTCTCTACATCACAAATGGCACCTCCAGTTTCTATAAGAAAATAGTTATTAAAAAAAAGACACCATAGCTAATACAATTATTGTCTTTTTGAATATCATTAATTGATTAATTATCACAATGAGATATTAACATATGCATAATAATTTAGGTAGATAGAAATCCTTATAAGTAGATCCGCGTTGTAAAACTAATTAAATGAAAAATGTCGAGAGTGTCTGGAGAGTGTACGCTGTATATTATTATAAATATTAAAAATAAAAAAAAGAAACGAAAACGATGAGCGATTAGTTGTACATTAGATCGCCAAAAGTATAAATAAGAGGAAGGAGGAGGAGAAGGAGGAGAAGAAGGGTGTGAGACGATTTGCAATTCGTATATACATAGAGCAATGCCAAGCACTCTGGTATTGAAATCAATTATCTTTACGAGTGTGCGTTGATAACGAAGGGACGTCCCTTATACATATAGTTTCGTCCCTTGAGAATTTTGTTACATTTGGCTCGCACAAAACTTAACACGAAAATTCGTTTCTCATTTTTTTTGCAGATGTTTATCTTATTTATTGTTTTCAAAAGATTGAAAATCTTTTTTTTTATATTTTGCAAAAAGATTTATTTACTGAAAAGCAGAATTGTAATTTATTTGTTAATTTTACAAGAATGCAAACATTCTTATGTTGCAAAAAGTGTAAACGAATTTTCGTGTGATTTGAGAAAAATATAAATCATTAAAAAAACAATTGTCATTTCTCAGTGTGATTGTTACAGAAAAAAAGCATAATTGTATCGATTTTTAAAAGAAAAAAAAACCAAGTCATAATATGCCCAGTGCTCAATATTGTTAAATATACGTTTCGTAAGGGCGTACTACGCATTTTTTTGTGTCTAAAAAAGAAAACTACTTACAAAAATTATCCCCCACCCCGAATTTTGTAAAAGTAAGGATAAAATCCTGTCTTCCTAGTTTTTTCTTTTGTTTCATCAAATTTTTTGAATAAGATTGTCGAAACTGAAAATCAACAAACGGGGATGTAAAGATCGTACTCGAAAAAAAAATTGTACATTGTTTTGTATAAAAAAACACATTTGTTTGTATCTGTGATAAAACGAGAGATGAAGTAAATATGACAAGAAAACGAGAGCAATAAAGAAGAAAGAAAAGAGGAAAGAAAAAAAGTAAATAAAAAAGTGAAGAAAAAAGAAAGGAAAGAAAAGAAAAAGTAAAAAAAAAGAAGCGTTTGGAAAAGAACGCAAGAGAGTTTGGGAAAAAATTACGGTATCTGTACAACACTCTATTCTACGATAGAAACGAGGTCGGTGCTCGTGTATTCATCAACACGAATATAATTATTAGAAATATAGATAATAATGTTTTGTAAATAATCAGTGTACGTTATATTGAACGTAACACTTTCCTCGTGAAGAAAAAAATAAAAATCGGCGAGAAAGCTGTTTGTTGTGAATATATATAGTACAGGTACTAGTTATTATTATATATTAATATAAATGAGACTAGGTACTATACCGGTTGTTCGTACAGATTCGATTGTAAATTAATTAAAAAGAAAACAAATACAATTGTACATAGCTCTGAATGTGAATATAGATAAATATATCTATTATTATTATTATTATTATTATTATTATTAAAATTATTATTATTATTATTATATTATTATTATTATTATTATTAGCATCGATATCACGATATATTATATTATTATATACTACAATTATGAATTCACATTATATTAAAAAGAAAAACTATTACGTTGTAGATGCTGTCGCTTATTTTATCACCTTGTCCTTTTTTAATCATTAAGAAATTAAGATACTAAAACTGATCGGAATGAACTAAATAAACTAAAATGAACTGAGATCAAGAAAATCAACTAAATGACCTAAAATAAAATGAAATAAACTAGAATAAAGTCCAATAAACTAGAATAAACTGAATTCAACTGAAATAAACTAAACTGACTTAAATTAACCAAAATAAACTGAAATAAACTAAAATGAACTGAAATAAACTAGAAGGAACTAAAATGAACTAAAATGAACTATAATGAACTAAAATATACTAAAATGTACTAAAATATACTAAAATATACTAGAATATACTAAAATATACTAGAATATACTAAAATATACTAGAATATACTAAAATATACTAGAATATACTAGAATATACTAAAATAAACTAGATTAAACTATAACAAACTAGAAAGAACAGATTACAGTAAACTAAAATTATACTATAAACAGGAATTATTGAGAAACAATAAATATTGCTAATTACGAATATTTATTATAATTGCTACAATAATATTATTTCCAAAAATTATAATTTAAGAGGACTTTATTAAATTTATTACCATTAATCAGTCACTAAAAGTCATGCTATAAAAATTCACTTCGTTAATTTTATTTGTTACAAATTTGAAACTGTTAAATGTTACCAGAATATTTTTCAAATATACTGATAAAAAATATATTGATACCATAATTATAACATTGTTTTAATCAATCCAGATAAATAATTAATTATAATAATAATTTCACAATAATAAAAAATAATAAACAATATAAACTTTGCGGTTATTATCCTACATTTAAAAATTTGTTTACCTAGTTCCAATAAAAATATTTATTTATAATATTAAAACGATGATGAGAATATGTTCATTACTGTTAATAAATATTAAATTTTGAAATTATTTCTGTTGGTAATTTTATTGCTATATAAATTAAAATTCATGTAATAAACTTGTGTAATACAATAATAGAAGGAGAATATACACGTGATTAGCAATAATGATGTTCATAAACATCAAGATAAATGATAATAAAATGGAGAACAAGAAGGCTTATTATATGAGAGAAGGAAAAAATGTTTCGAGTAAATATTTTCACTTTACACTCTCAAGTCTTAAAATCAATTGCGGCAAGCTTTATAGATTAGATATATGTGTGTGTGTGTTTATACATAATATATACATTGGTATACCATTGGTCCAAATAGGGTAGAAACGGACTGTAGCTATAACCCTACACAATATTCAACAAAATGTTGTATCTGAGCAAGTGCTAAGATAGTATGACTTCTGCTTTTATTACAAAAATGATTTTTATTGCGATATAGTATTTTTTTATTAAAATATAGTAGTTTAAATAAAATAGTATTCTTTATGAAGAATCATTTATCTAGTCGAATAATTTTATTTATATTAACATGGTATTTTTTTGTAACAATATTTTTATTAAAACAGAATTCTTTATAAAAATATTCTTTGTAAAAATATTCTTTATAAAAATATTCTTTGTAAAAATATTCTTTATAAAAATATTCTTTGTAAAAATAGTATTTCAAATAGTATTTCAAATAGTAATTTCTAATCAAATAGTATTCTTATCCATACATTATTTTTTGTTAAAACGTATTTTATTTTTTTTATTTTTTTTATTAAAATATTTTTTTAATATAACAGTATTTTGTATTAAATTATTTTTATTACATCAGTGTAATGCAACTTTTTCCCAGAAATAAATACAACTTAGAAGATACCGTTTAGTTACTACATTGATTTAAAGAAAAAATTTACAAAGTTGCAGGTTTGCCCCGCCGTCTGATGTAAACTGGCTATACCTACTTTTTTTTAGACTTCTAACAAGCGCATTAATAAATTCTGCCTTAATAAATTTCAAGAAAAGGGAAATGAACAGTAAAAAATATTCTTGGTTTTTTCATTTTTTACACACCATCAAGCAACACCAAATGCAAATTTTTAATAATTATACTTTAGCTTTTTCTTAAAGTGCTTATTCTAGAAATGGGGGCGTCATATACATTGTATTTTGGCAATAAACAAGTCACACGACATTGAAATCACCAATATCTGTATTGATTTTTTTTTGTTTTTGGTAAATATCTTTTGAACCTACAATAACGTTTTCAAAAAAAATTAGAGCATTTTTTTCCGAACTAACTCACTACTAATCTCAAAAAATTTGTTAATGAATCCGATATATCCATGTAGCCGTTTTACCCCACTCACCCTTAAAATATATTTTTTTTATTATAACAGTTTTTTTTATTAAAATATTGTTTTCAATAAAAAAATTTTTTTTTTGTATTGAAATCTTTTTTTAAAACCTTTTTTAAAAATATTTCTTATTATAACATTTAAAAAAATTTTTTTGTTTTGTATTAAAATCTTTTTTTAAAACATTTTTTAAAAATATTTTTTTATTAAATCCTTTTTTGATTAAAACATTTTTTAATTAAAATATTTTTTATTAAAATATTTTTTTATTCAAAAATTTTTTTTTATTTAGGTTCATTTGGTGTAAATGCAAACAGTTATATTTTCCGATTAATTTAAAGATTTCAAATTATGTAAGACGGTAATATTTTAACCTCAGATCACTTGTAAGATGTTCTCAGAGTTGCCAAATTTTTTTTTTGCAATTTTAGAATTGTGTCATTTTAGGCAAATATAATAAACTGTTCACATTTACCCCGAGAATTTTAGAACTCGTGGTAAACGTAAACAGATTTTCATCTGCATTTCAAAAAAAGATAATTGGATGAATTTGGTTTTATTTCTCAACAGTACTTCTTTGGTAATGGTTGAGATTGTATTTTCTTTCATACATTTTTCTTGTGAATTAATTGTAAGCCTAAACCTTCATAATATTTTCCAAAGTTCATCTTTGATCTTATATGATGCATTATCAATTAACCGTTTGTATTACTATATACATTTAACATAATTTTTTTTAGTTTTTCCGTTCTTAAATACAGTAGTGTACTTGAGATTACGTTTTTCTTGAATATTTCTTAACTGCAGTAGTATTCACATTTACCCCGAATTTTTGGAAAATTTCAAAAACTCGGAGTAAATGTGAACAGTCAGTTTTCTGCGTTTCAAGCTCATTAATATTTTCTTCAATGTCATATAATTTTTCTAGGAAAGTTAAGTAACTAGTTCATGCAAACGAATTTCGTCAGTTTAACCGTTTAACGAAAAAAACTTACGTTTTCCGTTCGAAAATAGATATTTTGTTTGTATTTACCCTAAATGATCCTATTTTATCAAAATATTTTTTTTCTTCAACTATTATTCTTATTCGAACAGTATTGGAAGTTTTCATTAAAATATTTTTTTTTACAATATTTTTTTTTATTATAATATTTTTTTCATTAAAACATTCTTTTATTCCAATATTTTTTGTTCAAACATTTTTTTATTCAAATTTATTTTTCTTGAAACATTTATTTTCTTAAAATATTTTTTGTTCAAACATTTTTTACTAAAATATTTTTTATTAAAAATTTTTTTATTCAAATATTTTTTATTAAAACATATTTTTTGTTAAAATATTTTTTTATTAAAATATTTTCTGTTAAAACATTTTTTGTTAAAACATTTTTTGTTAAAATATTTTTTGTTAAAAATTTTTTTTTTCAAATATTTTTTTTTAAAACATATTTTTTGTTAAAATATTCTTTTATTAAAATATCTTTTGTTAAAACATTTTTTGTTAAAATATTTTTTGTTAAAATATTTTTTCTTAAAATATTTTTTGTTAAAACATTTTTTCTTAAAATATTTTTTGTTAAAACATTTTTTCTTAAAATATTTTTTATTAAACCATTTTTTCTTAAAATATTTTTTATTAAAACATTTTTTTATTCAAATATAATTTTGTTAAAACATTTTTTATTAAAATCTTTTTATTCAACCTTTTTTTTATTTAGGTTCATTTGGTGTAAATACAAACAGTTATTTTTTCATATTAATTTAAAGATTTGAAATTATGTAAGACGATAAGATTTTAACCTCAGCTCACTTCTAAAAGCTTTTCAGAATTGCCAATACTTTTGTTTTCCAATTTTAGAATTGTGACATTTTAGGTAAATATAATAAACTGTTCACATTTACCCCGAGAATTTTAGAACTCGTGGTAAACGTAAACAGATTTTTACCTGCATTTCAAAATAATATAATTGGATGAATTTGGTTTTATTTCTCAACAGTACTTCTTTGGTAAGGGTTGAGATTGTATTTTCTTTCATACATTTTTCTTGTGAATTAATTGTAAGCCTAAACCTTCATAATTTTTTCCAAAGTTCATCTTTGATCTTATATGATGCATTATCAATTAACCGTTTGTATTACTATATACATTTAACATAATTTTTTTTAGTTTTTCCTTTCCTAAATATAGTAGTGTACTTGAGATTACGTTCTTCTTGAATATTTCTTAACTGCAGTAGTATTCACATTTACCCCGAATTTTTGGAAAACTTCAAAAACTCGGAGTAAATGTGAACAGTCAGTTTTCTGCGTTTCAAGCTCATTAATATTTTCTTCAATCTCATATAATTTTTCTAGGAAAGTGAAGTAACTAGTTCATGCAAAGGAATTTCCTCTGTTTAACCGTTTAACAAAAGAACTTACACTCTTGATTCAAAAATAGATATTTTGTTTACATTTACCCTAAATGATTCTATTTTATCAAAATATTTTTTTTCTTCAACTATTATTCTTATTCGAACAGTATTTTTTGTTAAAATATATTTTCATATTGGAAGTTTTCATTAAAATATTTTTTATTACAATATTTTTTTTTATTATAATATTTTTTTCATTAAAACATTCTTTTATTCCAATATTTTTTGTTCAAACATTTTTTTATTCAAATATATTTTTCTTGAA